AGAGAGAGAGAGTTATCTGCCTCATAGAAGTAACAGGGACAGTGCAAATGGCTTCTCTGTTACCTTCTGACAGCTAAAAGAATGATATTATGGCATTGGAAGGGTAAATATTCACCTCCTATAAAGCAATAGATTGAATCCCTTACAACACTTTTAATAATTGAACATGTGGCATATAGCAGCCACGTTCAAAGACATACTTACCTGGATAGTTGGCTTGCTTTTGTTGAAGCTGATTTATAATTGCTAGAACGTTATATACCTTTCATACATGTCTATGCATATGTGTTAAAAATGGAAAAACAAAGTAAACATAATAATAATGCTTCACAAAGTTCAGGTGCCTCTGAGTACTCTGTTGAGGAATCTTATCTAGGTACCACATACCAGTGGGCATCACATTAGAGATCCCTGCACTTCCTGGCCTTCTTAATTCTTTTTTCATTCATTCATTCATTTATTTTTCTATTTATATCCTGCCTTTTTCCTACAAAGGGCTCAAGGCAGCTTACATCATTCTCCTCCTCCATCTTATCCCCACAACAACAACCCTGTGAGGAAGGTTGGGCTGAGAGTCTGTGACTGGCCCAAAGTCACCCAGTTGGCTCCATGGCCGAGCAGGGACTCGAACCCAGATCGTCTGAGTCCCAGTCCCATGCGCTTAACCACTACGCCACACTGGCTCTCCTTTCTTGCCTTCCTAACTTTTGAGACACATTACTATGAATCAAGAACTATCTGAACTCTAGTCTGTCTTTAGCCATTGATGTGTCAACTATTCTTCAATCTTTTAATAAAAAAATCAATTTCTCTATCTTGCTTCTATCATTTTATGCATTGCTTTGTTAATTTCCCCAACATCTCTTTCTCTTTCATTCATACAAGTCCCACTCAAATGTTGCAAAAGTAATTATAATTTTTCAGTCCATAATTAGCTCTATATTCAATTGCTTTGACTTTATCTATTACCTTGACTTTATCTATTACCATTCCATGTCTGGGTACTCCATTCACTGGCCTAATGCTCCATGATTTTTAGTAAAAGTTCCTGAACATATGTAATAGGCATGTGTCACAAAGGCTTATGGTAACTAGCAAGCCAGCCATTCATGTCTTCAGGATGCTCCTCCCTGCTGGTTTTCCATTGTCACTCCTCTAACGGGCACTCAACATCCTCTCACCAATAGTATGCTCAGCCTTCATTTGACTATTTTCTGGAGCAGAGTGGAAGTTACTCCAATTGATCTTTTCCCAAGTATTTTTCTTTAGTTCTACAAACCTTGCAAGTTTGTTGATGCTTCTTTGTTATATGTGTGCATGCAGAGTGTACTGCCATTTTGGTTACCTAAGCAAAAACAGTCGGCTGTTATACAGGGTACAGGTGCAAACTCTGATATGTGACATTAATACCAACATCACAGAACATTCCCAGTATCCATAATGTTATGCACATCACTTGAGATATGTCACAACTTGAATGCCAGCTGTTGCTCCCTAGCAATTAATATTTAGTGGCATATTGCATCTGGACATGGGAGTACCATAACTGCCAAGCCCATTGTGGAACTGAGAGGTTGGAATGCTTATAATATCTTCTGTCTTTATTTACACAAATCTATTTATGCATAGAAAATGGGAATGAACTATAAAATTGGGAGCAAGATCTTTGGATTGTAATAGAATAATGCAGGATTCATTCTTTTTTATTATTGATGCTATTTACTATTAATTGTGCATTGCTTTCTGTCTGTTAAGGAGATATATGTTAGATGAAGATGAATTTCCATGAAAATATCTAAATCTAGGCGATTGGCAAAAGTTCTATAGAAATGCCATTAACTTTTCTACCATACTTTCTTTTCTTAAATTTGCATTGCATTAATTGCTCATGAAACTGTGATTAACATGTTTTACAAACCAAATGTATTTATATCTATTTGGAATTAAGTCCTACTGAATTTAAAGGGACTTACTCCCTGGCAATTATGGACAATTTTGCAGCCTGATACATTTGGTTTACTATTGAAGCCTTGATTGTTATGGTCGTACTTA